GTATACTAATAGTGTTTGGACAGGGTATCTTGTCTGCTTCTTGTACTATGGATAACCACTAAGAAGATAACAATGTACAATGTACTGATTATTGAAACTGTCCTATTATTCAGCTTTGAAACTGTCTCATTTATATGTGTTTCTCAATAAAATAAAAATAAATATAATGTCACTACTTTGATTTTCACTTATCACAGGGGTGTCTGGAACATAACCTTAGCAATAAGTGAAGGAACACCATAAAGCCAGTTTGCTTGTTTGACTTTTTTTTTTTCCCGGTACTGGAGATTGAACTCAGGACTCTACACTTGCCAGGCCGGCGCTTATTCTACTGAGCTATCTCCCCAGCCTTTAACTTTTATTATGGCACAGTATGTGTGTGTGGTGTACTGGGAATTGAACCAGGAGCCTGTATACTGTGCTATAACCCCAGTCTTTGTTTTACTTTTTAAATTTTGAGATAGGGTCACATTAAGCCACTAAGTCACCCCAGCAACCCTCTTGCCTCAGCTTCAGGAATGTAGTACAACACCAAGCTAATATGATACCATATGACTACAAAAATTCCAGTGGGCTGGGGAGATACCTCTGTGGTCTAAGTCCCAGCTTGGCAAGCACAAGGATCTGGGTTCAATCCCCAGTACTGCATGCCCTGTTGGCCCTGGAACCCTGGGTGCACCATGCAGGCCACGGAAACCTGGCATAGTGACGCACACTTGTAATCCCAGCACTGGGGAGGCTGAGAGAGGGGGAATCACTACAAGTCTGAGCTGTGCAATGAGACCCTGTACCAAATAAATAAAAAGACTTTTTAAAAATTCTAATAGCATTTTAGATAAGAAGTTACTCTCAAATGTTAACTAGCTGAGTATTATTTTGTAAAAAAAAAAAAAATTTTTTTTTAAAAGCTCACCTTAGGGGGCCGGGGAGATGGTTCAGTGGAATAAGCGCTTCCCTGGCAAGCGCAAGAGCCTGAGTTCAATCACGGGTTCAAAAAAATAAAAAAATAAAAAAGCTCACCCTATTTCCCAAAACTACCCAAATTCTTGTTAGAGGACCTCAAACCTCAGGACCCATGCCCTTCTTTATCCTGGCTACCTACCTGTCAGGTTTGTATCAGTCCAGGCCCATATTTGAGTTAGATAGTTAAGTGCTGAGAAATTCAGGGAATGTATCTTGGTTAAAAAAACTGCTTGAACCACTTTAGCCTATTTATCACAAAGACCCTGTAAGTCTATACACTCTTTAATAAATGGAGCCTTTTAGGTACTATAGTTTAGAAAAACTTGGAGAAAAGTTACTGACATTTTAGTCTCTTTTTTTTCTTTCTTTCTTTCTTTCTTTCTTTCTTTCTTTCTTTCTTTCTTTCTTTCTTTCTTTCTTTCTTTCTTTGGTACAGAGTCTCACTCTGCAGCTTGGACTCATAGTGATCCTGTCTCAGTCTCCCCAGCACTGAGATTAAAGGCATGCCACCACACCCAGCTTTGGAGACAGCACAGTATATGGTATTAAGGATCAAACGTGGGTCCTTGCACTTGCCAGGTAGCCACTTAGACCACCGAGCTATCTCCCCAGTCCTACATTCTAAAATATTTTAAAATAACCCTCCCTGCTAGGCAAGGTGACACACACCTGTAACCGGAAAACTTGGGAAGCTGGCGGTGAAAGGATCACCACAAGTCCAAGGCAAGCAGGCTATACAGTGAGTTCAAGGCCAGTCCAAAATACATAGAAACTCCCATGGAAAGAGCATTTCAATGACAACTTAATTGTAATGACTTTAGTTTTAATGAGCAAGTACGGCTTTACACACTGATAAGCAAGTGTCATACAGATGCCCTTAACCCAGAAAAAAACTTACTTACTATTAGCTTGCAATAATTCCTTGGGTACACTGCAAGCAGAGCCTTCTAACATGGCATTTACACTCTCATGCTGTTCAGGAGACATGGGCTCTTGTTTAACTTGAATGGATGAGTCTGGAGCAAGGATATTGCCATGGGTTTGGAAGGCAGCAGATGTGGTTACTTGGAGAGGGGCTCCAATAGGTGATGGGCACACATGGGAAGGAGATGGCTCCAGAAAAGCTGGGAAAAGTGGAGCAGGCAGCAGTGTGGATTCAGCAGATATCTGAGATCTGTTGTTCCTCTGTTCTTGGGTGAGGTTACAAGCAGCCTGGTCTGGGTGCTCAGAAGGTTCATATGTTTCTAGAATGAGAAACACACACAAATGCAAAAATGCTACCTGTCAAGTCACTATTTTCTAAGCCAATTTGTATTCTAAAGACTAGATAAGAATTTTAATTAAAAAGAATTTTAAATTAATAAATATATTAGTGTATGCCTTCATAATTCTTCAAGACAGAATGATTACCAAGGATACAGCCAGAACTGGCATCAACATTTCAATTTTTAAAATTTTAAGTAACTGACACAAAGTTACCATTAATTACAAGAGCCAAGATTTGAACAGAGGCCTTTGGATTCCTAACCAACACTACTGTCTCTGCTAATAAATACAGCAACTGTTGCGTAGTTTTGGGTTGTGTAGTATACAGGGTAGACATGAGATAAATTATATGACCCCCTCATAACTATTTTTTCTTCTCCTTTATAGAAAACCAAAATTAGTAAGTTTGGGGGTAGAGTACAAGCTTATCAGACACACTCTGAATACCTTGCAATCCTTGCAGAATCTGTATCCTATGAGTCCTCAGTGCACTCATCTCCATAGTTATCTAAAAACAAAGTATGTGATTAAGCATACTGAAATCTTACTCTGAAATGATTTGCTGTCGTTACACCATTCTCTTACCTGCTGCTTAAGCACGAGTAGCCTCTGAACTTCAATGTATGCAGTCTGTAGGGCCGCCCGGGCTTGCAGAAGGTTGTTATCCATGCACTGTAGGGATTTGCTTAGTTCCTCCTCTCTTAAGGAGATATTCAGCAGCTGGTCAACCTGAGATCGTTCTGCTGAGAGATTGTAAGGCTAAGCTTAATAATAGGGATTTCCCTATAAGCATAGGACTGCTCAGAAGACACATCCATCAGTGACTTAGGATTAGCCTTTATTTTCTCAATAAGTCAATGGAAACTCAACAAATCTCATAAAACATGCAGTCAAAACTGATGACATCAGCTGAGGCAGAAGGATTTTGAGTTAGACACCAGCCTAGGCTACATAGCAAGACGTTGTCTCAAAGGTAAATAAAAAGACTGATGACACCAAAGCTAGAAACCAAAGATGAAAGATGAAGGAGCGCTATCTGGCCCAACCCCCAGCCCCACCTTTACCTCTCCAAGGGAATTTTCAGTCTAGGCACATTAACTCTAAAGTTTCATCACCCACTCTTCCATTATCTACCATCTACTTCACTCAACTTTTTGCTCAGATTGATCCCAGGTCCAGACTACTTGTAAACCATATTCTTCTAGTCTTCCAACTAACTTTACTTATTTATTTTTGTTTGTTTGTTTTACTTAGGTCCTTGCACTTGCCAGGCAGACACTTATGGCACTGAGCTATCTCCCCAGCTTCAACTAACTTTAAGTAATTTTCTTTAGTCAGATTACTTTTGTTACTAGTATTATTATTACCTTTTCCCCCCTGTGGAACCAGGGATTGAACTCAGGCTCTTGTGCTTGGCAGGGAAGCACTTATTCCACTAAGCCATTTCCCCGGCCCTGTTACTAGTATTTTTTAGTTCCTTACATGTTCTGAACATGAAACATTTGTCACACATATAATTTTCAGATGTTTTCCCCATGCATTAGATTGTCTTTTTCTCTACTGAATGTGTCTTTGATATATGCAGAGGCCTTTTAGTTTGATGTAGGCCCATTTATCAATTTTGCTTGCAGGTTTTTTTGTTTGTTTAGTTTTTGTTTTGTTTTGAGGTAGGGTCTATGTAGTTCAGGCTGGCCTTGAACTCACTATGTAACCTAAGCTGGCCTCAAACTTGATTCTCCCAAGTATACTACCATGCCCAGCTTGCTTTCAGGGTTTTATTTTTTTAAAAATCCTTGCCTATTCCAATGTTTTTTTGTTTGTTTGTTTTTGTTTTTTGCGGGACCAGGGATTGAACTCAGGCCCTTACGCTTGCCAGGGAAGCACTTATTCTACTGAGCCATCTCCCCAGCCCCTCTAAACACCACATCCACATATACAACTGTTAACTGTAATATCCCTAGTATCAAAGGTCCACTTGGTCAAAGGATCCAAAAGTAACTCACTCTTGCCCTACCCTCAATCTGCTTCCATCATGGAGTCTTCTGACTCTATAAATGGTATCATCATTAACCTAGTTGCCTCAGCCAGAAACTAGAGTCCTCCTTGAAGTCTCTCTCCCTTATCTATCCTATCCACTGACTCAAGACTTACCTACCCATTTACTTCTTTACTTTACCCATTTACTTCTTACTGTTTGATGCAGCACAGCATTGGGTTATCAAAACACCAATCATCCATTTATTATTTATTAGACAATATTGTCTTGCCCATTTACTTCTTTCAAGGAAAGCAAGAGTCACTGAAACTTATCAGTGGGGAAACAATAACAATATAATATCTCTCCTTAATTCACATTAGCAAAGCAAACAAGATGCCAAAAAGCAAGAAAAGAAATGGCTACCAATAACCAAGAGAGACAATGTTTTTAATATATCAACTGTTTCTTTTCATCCCAAGGAAAAGGCCCAATGAGACTTTCAGGGTTCCTACTAAGATATATAACCTTATCCTCCAGGTCATATGTCCCTTCTAGCTATAGCTATAACTGAATGTAGGTCTCACTGTGCTGTTCAAGCTAGTCTTGAGCACACTTCGTAGCTCAGGCTGGTCTCCACCTCGCAATGATCCTCCTGCCTCAGCCTCACAAGTGTTGGGATTATAGGCATGCACCATGATACTCAACTAGCAAGACAATATTGTCTAATAAATAATAAATGGGGGCTGGAGAGATGGCTCAGTGGTCTAAAGCACCTACTTAGAACAAGCTTAGCAAAGCGCAGGGACCGTGGTTCAATCCCCCAGCACCACATGCCTGCCAGCCCTGCCCCCTGGTGGGCTGAGCTGGTCTCTCTCTCTCTCTCTCTCTCTCTCTCTCTCTCTCTCTCTCTCTCAAATAAATAAAAAATAAAATAAAAATAAAAATAAAAATAAATAATAAATGGATGATTAGTGTTTTGATAACCCAATGCTGTGCTGCAGTAAGCAGTAAAAAGGGTGAACTGCTACAAGAACAACTTTCTGCCAGAATATTCTGTGTCATACCTTTCTTTCCTTTAATTTTTCTTCTTTTATTTTTTCTCTCAAGACTTGGGAGTTCAGGAGACGATCCATCCTGAGGAATAAAAAAAAAATTAATAATATTACGTATTAAAGGTCATTATCCAAGAGAGCAAAAAAATGAATTCTAAAATAGTCAAACATTGTTCTTCACTACTGATACCATCTCTTAACATGATAAGGAGTCTCACATACAACTCAAATATTAGTTAAAAGAATGTACTTTTAAAAACACATACACACAGAATCTAAGATCAAATACCCCCCAGAATCCTACGGGTAATAAAAGTCCATAGGACTTAGTCAAAGCATTCCATAGATGAGAGAATTGACAGTCATTAACATATACTGAGTTAGGGCTGGCAAAGATAGCTTAGTGGACTAGGTGCCTGCTTTGGCAAGCACAGAGACCAGGGTTTGACCTTCATCACTGCCCCTGGGGTGAGCTGAGCCACCAACTAAGTCTGGGCATGGTGGGGCACATCTGTAATCCCCGAGCTGGGGAGGCTGAAAACAGGAGGACCACTATACCTGAGCTGCATAGTGAGACCCTGTAACAAATACATTAAAATGTGTGTGTGTGTGTGTGTGTGTGTGTGTGTGTGTATGCAGCACATATACACACATACACGTATCCTGAGTTCATCTTGGTATAGTTTCTACTGTTTTTGACACAGGGTCTCATTACATAGTCCATGCTGACTGAACTTATAACTTGTATTTAATACTTAATAACATTAATGGGGCCAGGGAGATGGCTCAGTGGAATAAGCGCTGCCCTGGAAAGCGCAAGGGCCTGAGTTCAATCCCTGGTTCTGGAAAAAAAAAAAAAAAAAAATTAAGTATTAAAGGTCATTATCCAAGAGCAAAAAAATTAATTCTAAAATTCACCTGAGCTGCATAGTGAGACCCTTTAACAAATACATTAAAAAATATACATAGATAGATATATGTATACACATATATACATATATGTATATATGTCATGACTTGCAATCCTCACCATATCTGGCTTGTTTCTATTTTGATTTTGATTTCTATTTTGATCTATGAGACAAATCTCCAGATAATAAATTTGTCAAAAGATAATCTCAAGCTTCAAGTATATTTCAAATCATCTAATATTAGGGCTGACTAGATAGCTCAGTGGACTAACGTGCCTGCTTAGGCAGAGCACAGGGGCTGGGGTTCAATCGCTGGCACCAGGGGCACACTGAGACAGAGATAAAGACTGGGCGTGTTTGCACACACCTGTAATCCCAGCGCTTGGGAGGCTGAAAACAGGAAGATAACTATGAGTCCGATCTATGTAGTGAGACTCTGTACTAAATACATTTTTTAAAAAAAGACCAAAAAATTATCTAATATTCCCTACTATTTAGCTTTTTGTTTTTTAGACAGGGTCTCATTATGTAGCCCAAGCTGGCTTCAAATTCATACTGATCCTCCTTCCTCCCAAGTGCTGGGATTATAGGCATGCACCATTTTGCCTGGCCACACAGTGTCCAGTTGAAAGGAACAGCTGATATTTGAAATGGACCTAAAACCTAATACACTGTTTATGTCCTCATTTTATTTTTTAATTTTTTTGTTTTTGTTTTTGCTGTTTTCCAGGACTGGGGATTGGGAGTTAGGAAACTGGGCTCTTTGCACTTAGCTACATCCCCAATTTTCTATATTTTAAGACAGTGTCTTGTTAAATTGCCTAAGCTTGGCTCTTATTTCAGCCTCCCAGAATGCTGGGATAACAGGAATGTACTACTATGTCCACCTACTGCTTTGTTTTAAGAGGTTCATTTTTATTTTTTCACAGAGTCAGTCTGTATCACTCTCAGAAACTTGTTTTTTAGAAAGAAATCTTCAAAGGGTTAAGCAACTACTGTGATAGGAACACCAGAAAAGTAAAACTGGTATCAGCAAAGAAAAAGTCTTTTATTTTTATTTTACTTTATTTTATTTTTAGGGCCAGGATGGGCAACTAAAGAACAAAAGAATTATAAAGACAATCAGGAGGCTGGGAATACAGCTCAGTGGCATAAGCACCTGCCTAGCAAGTGCAAGGTCTTGAGTTTGATCCCCAGTACTGGGTGGGGGGCACAACAACCAATCAGTCAATAGTCAGACAGAAGGCAAACAAGTGTGGCCAGGCATGTTAATACATGCCTAAAATCCCAGCTACTTGGGAGGCTAAAGTGGAGAATCACAAGTTCAAGCTCTGTGTAGACCACTTAGCAAGACCCCGTCTCAACATAAAAAAGGGCTGGGTGAGGCAGGGATATAGTTTATTGGCACAGTGCCATCCTGGCAAGCATGAGGTCCTTAGTTTGACTGCTGGTACCAAAAAAGAGAAACAAAGGAGGGGTGCTGGGAATGTAGGTTAGTGTTTCTTGGGTTCAATCTCCAGGGCCACAAAAAATGAAACAAAATAAAGCTGGGAGTGGTTGTTGCATGCCTTGTAATCCCAGTTCCTGGTACTTGGGAGACTAAGGCAAGAAGATTGCCAACTTTAAGGCCATGTAGGGCAATTTAGGAGAATCCTAGGTTGTAGCTCAGAGGCACAGTGCTTTCCTAGATGCACTAGGCCCTGGTTCAATCCCCAGTGCTGTTAAAAAAGAAAAGACTTAAAAATTTTTCTATCCTATATATGCACTTTAATCTTAAATCTCACAATCCTAAAGGTAAGCCCTACAAATCCAACAGCAGAATGTCTTTCCTGAGAAGCAGTACAGAGTGCATCTATGAAAACAGATTAAGTTACAGCTGAAGATATAACTTCTCCTTGGTCAAGTAATACAAACAATCCCTGGGTTGGAGACTGGTTTTAGATATGACTTCATATTTTCCTGGTACTGTACATTCATATTACATTACATCTAATTTAGCAGAACTACTCAGGGATAGAAATCAGTAGGATAAAAGAGCCTCACAACTCTATTCCAGAGAGTTCTCTATGGTAGAGAGAACCATAACCCCACATAGACAGAAAAATCAAATAGTTAAGCCTCCTTATAAAGAAGATACCACATAAGATGTTCTATAAAGCAAAAACAGAAGAATCATACTCACTCCAGTGGCTCTCCGCTTCTTCCTAATGCTCTGGCCATCATTTTGCTCAGCACCAGAGGTACAGCTACTGTCTGTAGCTGCATCTGCTAAGCTGGAGATGGCAAGGACTGAGGACGCATCTGATGACAGCCAGCTTCCTTCTCCAGTGCCCTCCTGGGCACTGTGGGTCTTGGGTGGCAGTGAAGAGCACTCCTGGTTACTCCTATCTTTTGCTGAATGCATTAAAGGTGCCAAATGGTCAGATGGCAATTGTGTACTATGTCGTCTTTGAATAGCAAAGTTTTCAGCCCTTTCGCAAGTTCTTAGGGAGGCAGCCACATGTGTTGCTTCCTGTTTAAGGCACAGTGTTGCTTTCTGACTCTGTGCAACATTCAGTGAGTTGCCAGGCGAAATAATCTCCTGGGGCTCATTTTCTCTGCCAGTACCTTCTTCACTGAAGAAGCTATACACAGGAGCCCTGTCCGTGATCACGCTGCTCTCAGAAAGGCTTCGCTTTCTGGCCAACCCAGGGGATGAAGAAATAGAAACAGCTTCCCACTGGAACCCTTCAAGACTAGACAAATCAGGCTCCTCATCCAAATCCAAGACCTCTTGTTCATTCTGGACCAAAGGTACCATTTCTATGCCAAACCTTAAAAAAAGAAGAGACAAAAGTCAGAGTGGGCGGAGAGGGGCACCAGTGAACATGTCAGGCTCTGTTAGGTACAAAAAAGAAGGTGTTTTCTGCCTAAAAGTACTTCTGTTTGCTAGGCAGCGATCCAGGCATAAAGTAAATATGTAATAAACAATAAGATATCCCAAGTTCTAAATTAGAGACTTGATTACAGCTATGAGACTACATGTAAAGTAGTAAAAATTGGACTTTATTTCAAATGAAGCCATAAACTTACAATAAATACCTAAGTTTTTACAAAGTATAAGAAGTAAAGCCATGGTGTTATGTTGAGCTGTAGGGGACTCAAGTCAACAATTTTTGACATTGCCAGTCAAGCGGAAGACCCAAAACTATTATGGGCTACTGGACTCTTTTAGAATATTTTGCTGAGTTAACACACCTATAATATTCAAATTATGGAACTTAACAAAAAAAGGGGATACAGATGAATGTCCATTTTGTATCTGTGTATTCAAAGTGGTTAGGGTAGATATATAGTTACATTCTCTTAATGAATAGAGTGATTTCTTCTAATGGTGTTTGTAACTAGGATATCATGTCCGCATCTTGTACAGCAATTAACCACTGGGAAGAATGTATGCAATGTGTTAATTATTGAAACTGTCCTACCAATTTGGTTTGAAATTGTCTTATTGCTATATGTTTCTCAATAAAACTACTGAAAAAATTCACTACAAGTCTGATCTGTGTAGTGAGACCCTATAGACCCTGTACTAAAAACACACCAAAAAATTGTCTTTGTCCATTTCTTATATTTGCTTATGTTGTCTCATAATTTCATTAAAATAATAAATTTAAAAAAAACTACTGAAAAAAACAATAAATACCTAAGTTTTTAAAGTAAACAAACTTTTTCAAGTAAATATTCACAAGTGTCAGGGACTTGCCAAGGCTGAGTAATTAATCTCAAGTACTAGTCACAAGGTCTGGAAAAGTTTTTAAAATGAAACAAAAGAAATCCATTATTTCAATGAGGTCAAAAATGGCCCTAAGCATGGATAACTGTATAACACCGCAGAATTATAACTTTCAAGTAGTAAATATATCTTACATATTGCTTCACCATTCAAGAGTCTAGTACTTACCTTAAAATGAATACCCAAATATCATAAAAGCCATTAAAACAAAGTATTTGTGATCCTAAGTATAATGCCCAGCGTACCTATAGAAAAGTAACTGGGCCAGGGAGCTAGCTCAGTGGAATAAGCACTTCCCTGGCAAGTGCAAAGGGCCTGAGTTCAATCCCTGGTTCCAAAAAAAAGAAAAGAAAGAAAAGTTAACTATCATAGATTCTAAGCAGAAAGTAATGAGAAGAGTTATACCTAAAACATTAAAATAGTTATCCCTCAACATTAAGTTCCAGACAGAAATATAGATTTCTGGATACACATTTTCATGCTGTTACTTTCTAGCCTCTTTAAGAATGAGGAGCCTATAATCCCAGCACTCATAAGGATCGATGTAAACTCCAGGCCAGCCTGAGCTACAAAGTGAGTTCCAGGGCAGCCTGAATTGCATAGCAAGACCCTGACTCAAAAAACCTAATTAATTAATAACAGTGATAATCTTTTCCCTTGTCTCCTTCAAGTTTCTCAGAAGGAAGTATATTTCCATTTTAACTGCACTATCTGCTAGGAAAGCCTGAACTCTGTCACAGAATACTACTCAGCACTTGATAGTCAATTAGAGCAAACATCTACAATGGTATTTTTAGCGAACATTTAACTAAATGCAACAAGTAGAATTCTCTTCACCAAGGTCAAAGGTAACTTTGAATGAAAACAAGAAAGACACTGAAAAGAGGCACACACCTGGGTAAGCCTTTGCCCAGCTCTTGCTTTTTCCTGGTTACTTGTTGAATGACCTGCTCCCAGTTGACGTTTCTTCGAGATGCATTTAGAATCTGTCGTAGGGTTGGCTTGAGCCCAGACTCCTTCTCCGTTTCACTCTTTCGATGACCACTAATATTGCGAATGCGGCGAGCACTATTGAGGTTTGGCTCAGGAAGGTGTGCTCCAGCTTTGCTCTTTAAACTCATGTGCCGGGTTAGATCTCTCTGGAGTGAGGCAGGAAAGCCAAGCTTACTTAGTTCAGGTACAAGAGAACTGGAAGGCTGAGTATCACTTTTGTTAAGTTCTCCTTCCAAGCCAAAGGTTTGGCTCTCAAAGGTTTCTGTCTCATAAGACACATGAGATTTAACAGGACTGTCACCCTGGCCATCTTCTAGAGAAGTATTCAAATCTAGTAGTAAGCCAGAGTGTGGACTGGCTGCAGATGGCATCTGTAACTCAGACTCTTTCTCTGGATCTATGGAATTACATGAGGTGGAAGAAAGTTTTCTAGATACTTTTAGGATCTGGTCATCATCCCCTTCTTTCTCAACAACAACAGGAGTGCTGCGGGATAAAGCTTCTGTAGTTACAGAACCTAGGGTTCCAATTTTTGTTCTATGCTTTTCTGTGTCAGATGTTTCTTCATCACTTTTATCTTCTAATGCTTGTACTTGAAATTCAATCTTCAGAGACCCTTTTTCAGACTCCTCTACATTCCTACTTGCTTTTGCACACATCCTGGTCCTTTTAAAGGTGCTGGTAGATGGATCTCGCAGTGAGTCATGACACTGTAGCACTTCTTTGGCTTTTGGTACTGTATCACTGAAGTCAACATCAGATTCTTCCTGAGTGCCAGATGCAGTCTTACTCGCTCTTAAAACACGAGAACATGAACTATGCAATTTGGACTTGAAGGAAGAACTATAGTTATTTTCTAAAGTGGGTTTGTTCAAGGGATTTGAGTTTTCTGTAGCAAAAGAATTTGTCTTGGTGTTTTTTGAGGGAGTCTTTGAATCTTGCTTTTGAGAAATGGCTTTAGTAGCTGGAAGTTGAAGAAGTGGAGATTTCAATGAGAGCATCTTATTTGAGTTATGTCCTTGTTTAGGGTTTTCTATAATGGAACAATCTCTCACCACCTCAGAGGAAGCAGGGCAGTCAGAAGGGACTTTGTGATTAAGAGATCCATTATGTATTTCTTTTTGTGTTTTTAGTGTTGGGGAATTATTAGTTTCATCAGTTGAGGGTGCCTGTAGTCCTGCAGTTATTAAACTAAAATTGAAGAGAGACTTCTCTGTTGTTTCTGACTTATTACTAGTGGCTTCTTTCAATCCTGATTGTGAATCCAGAGTTTTCTGGGAAGGATATGGAGTCCAGCGATGGAGCTTTTCCCTTGCTACACTGCCATTCTTTCCACCAGTTTTGGTAGCTGCACCATCTGTCTGTTTAGCAGTCTGGCTTTCTGGTTGCTCAAAATTGAAGTCACATACACCTTCAGAAAGAAAGCTATCACTGGTAAAGCCTTCAGAAGAACTTCTATATGCTGCAACTTTACCAACTTTATCATTATCTTGCCGCTGCCAACTGTATCTCTCTTGATTGTATTTGCTTGACATATTGGCTTTCTTGTTCCATGGCATATTCATATCTTCCATCTGATAGTTAGAATTTCTGTTTCTGCCTGGTTGAAATTTGTCTCCGGGGCCACTGTAATTCCAACTATTTATATTACGTGCATTGGATTTCCAGTTTCCGTTACTGTTGTTCATATGCCAACTGGAAAAACCACCTGTTCCTTCAGAATGCCAACTGGAATTCCTTCCTGGACTATTATAATTCCAATCCACCATCCCATTATTTGGATGCCAACCTCCTCCAGAATTACTATGGTTGTGAAACCAAGTTGAGGAGCCTCTTTTAACCCCATTATGCCTCCCAGCACATCCTCTTGGCCCACCATTATTCCTCAAAGGATGTGAAAAGTTATTTTTCCTAGTACTATTAAAGCCATCTTTTTCCCATTTCCAATCCCACTGTGGAGGGCCACGATGATGCCTTGCTGGCTGACTGTAATTCTCTCTGTCTTGGTAAGGGATTCGGTCTTCTCGTCTCCACTGCGGTTGTCTGCCATCTGAGTTTATTTCTTGGCTGCTATTGGAAGGCTTGTCTTGGCTGAAAGAAAAGTAGTTTTTCATTATGGATTTAAAAGAAATCTTATGCATCCTATAAAGGAATAACCTACCAAACTTCCCCTCCCTCCTCCTCCCTTGTGGCTTATATTAAGTAACAGAATCCATTTGTACTTAATAGTGATTGTTTTCCTATCTTCAAGATGATCAAATTTATATTCCTCAATTAATTTAAAATTAAACAATATATTATTTCCCTTATCACCTTAAGAATATTAAAAATCTCAGATGTTTGTATCATCTTTCCTTTCTAAGAATGTTTTTGTTTTTCTTGGCTCATGTTCTGGGATTTTTTTCCCTATTATTTTTATACTATGCAACTTTTTCAAAATAAAAGCATATTCCATAGCTATTAGTTACTATTAACACAATTTATGTTCATTTAGCGGCATTTTATATGTAATTTCTTCAGCTGAAAGTTTTTTGAATAATCTAGTTTCTCAACCATTTATTGAACTTATTATACTACACATGGTTTATTTCATTAATAAACACTTTACCCAGCACCCATTCAACAACTGTTAGTGGAATAAAAAATCTTTTGTGCATAGTTCCTGTCTATGATGGCCTTATAACCTAGCTGAGGAAATAAGTAAGATCACAAACAGGAGTAAAATCACACATACCAAGAGTTATAAAGAGCTCTATGAGCTAGAAGTTTTTATAAAGAAGCTCTTCATGTTAGAGCTCACAGAAGCACGAATTTAAGTAAACATCATAGGAACAGGTATAAAACCATTTTCCTTTACAAACTGCCTATGGTGGGCCGGGGAGATGGCTCAGTGGAATAAGTGCTTCCCTGGCTAGCGCAAGGGCCTGAGTTCAATCCCTGGTTCCGGAAAATAAAAAAAAATAAAAAAAAATAAGAGAGACAAACTGCCTATGGTTTGCCCAAAACAGTGCTCAACAGGTGGCAGGTGCTCAAAAACTTGAATGATACTAGTGCAAAGTTGCAGAATATCTACTAAATATCAGGCATTTAATTCAAGCTAGTACTTTATATAGGTTAATTCACTTAATTTTTTCAATTCCAAGATAAATATTTTTAAAAAATATTTTTGCACAAAGAAACTGAAGATTAGAGAGATCAAGAAACCTATCTAGGGGGGCCTGCCCCTTAGCTCAGTTGTTTAAGTGCCTGCTTAAACAAAGCAGTCAGGCTTAGGATGCTGTGGTTCAGGCAATTTTTAACATCTAAGGGAAAGACAAACTCAGCCCTACTGAGTGAAGGGAATGTGATCAGAAGTGGGGGAAGAACTGAGTAATAAATCACAAAAATAAATTCCTAGATCATGCTTTGAGGATCCCCAGATCCTCAAGCCAAAACCAGACCTGCCCTGAAGGCATCCTGAGCCCACAAAAAAAAAAAAAAAAAAAAAAAAAAAAAAAAACACTAGAGTAAGACAGAAAGTGGTAGAGCAGAAATTTGAACCTTGGCAGTTTGACTTGAGTTTATACTCCCACCCACATGGCCTTTATAAAACAAAAATCCCAAAACCAAAGTTTTCACAGTTATATTTCTCTTAACTTCACCTAAATCTTAAACTCAGTATTTACTTTAACTGGCCTAAAAACCTTACAACACCTATGAAATAACTTCTGGACACAAATTAGGATTCCTTCCTTTTTCACAAAATAACTTAAAAATTACTGTATCTTAAAACCTTCAAGTATCTTACTTACTTTATAAATTACAAGTACATCTGAACAGGAGACCTGCAGTCCTCAAATAAAAAGTGCTACTATACACACAAACAAGGTTTGTTTTGAGGGGGTTATCGTTATTAACCAAATTGCTTTTTCCTTTTATTTCTAAGCTGTAGGCAATTTTTAACATCTAAGGGATAAGGGCTGGTGAGATGGCTCAGTGGTCTAAAGCACCTACTTAGAACAAACTAAGCCAAGCAAAGTACAGGGACCACGGTTCAATCCCCCAGCACCACATGCCAGCCAGCCCCGCCCCCTGGTGGGCTGAGCTGGCCACACACACACAAAATAAATAAATAAACATCTAAGGGATAAACTTGAAGCCTTTCTATTGAAGTAGATGCCACTTGAAGATATACTCATAAGTGAAATAAACCAGACACACATGTGTAAATATCGTATAGTTTCCCTAGAATGAGAACTCAAAAGAAGAAATACAAATAGAAAGGTATAATATAAGAAAAAGGACCACTAAGACAATAATATACAATGTATTAATTATTGAAAATGTACTACTAATCGGTTGTGGTACTGTCTCATTGCTATTTGTTTCTCAATAAAAATATTTTTAAAGTGTTTTTAAAAAAAAAGAAAGATCCTCTGAGCCAATGGAAGTGGTCTTAAATGTGAAAATGAGTTGCGACATAGAAGGTAATAACATAAAAATAAATTATCATCTTCCACAGGAAAAAAAAAGAAAGAAAGAAAAAAGAAAAAGGAAAGCAGGATCTCAAGGACTAACTAATTAAGACAGGGAAAGGAGAAGAGTTAGGAAACATGACAATGTCAAACCATACAGTTATATGTAGAAGATGGACAAGGCAATGATCCTGAGAATCTTCAGAAGATTTTTTAATCTAGCAGTTAATTGGAAAGATTCTCACTCTGACTAACTATATATACTGATATCTGTGAACTAAGCAACTGCATTGAAGATGGTAATCTGTAATAGTAGTTTCATGCTTGGAGTGAATGTCATTCTGGTCTTCTGAATACAGGCTGCTTGTCATGACATACCAGTTGCTGCTGTGCTGTCTCTCGGGTAGATGATTGTTCAAAAAGAAGGGGGTGGTGAATGAAGGCA